TATATACTTTTGAATAACTAAGAAATCATAAATTAGTACATCAATACTATAGAATTATACTGTAATTTATCAAAATTAGTAACAGCTGTATTTGGGTCTAAAAAATATATAAAATTTTGAGTAGACTAAAGACACAACCTACCTCATTGAAATCTTGGTTTAAAAGAAAGAAATGGCACTAGCTATCTATGTTAGAAAGGCTGAGAAAACCACTAAGGGGACATTCTGAGCTTCCGATTGGTTATTCATGTCATATGTAGAAGTAAGTGTATATAAGGGAGCATTTCCAAGAAGGAAAGGAGGTGAGCGGGGTGCCACTATGTTTAATTTACTATATGAGCCATATCTTAGCAAATAGAAAAGATAAGACATTCTTATTTTATATTCTAGTTTATCAATATCTGTAATTTGAACCAGTGCTGCATTCAACATATCACGTGACACACACAAAAATTGATGTTTATCTGTTTTTTTAATATTTACTTTAAATTAACAAATTGAGTAATGTATAGTTCTAAAATTTGAATTATAATCTACAGTTTGATACCAAACTTATTGACATAAATTCATGAAATGATAGTTCAATAAAATTTTTAATGAGAGTCAACAAACGAGATGACATGGCCTTTCACCTGTGACCCATCTGGAAAGGGTTAACAAAGCTGCTTCAACCACTAAATAATTCATTACTATCAAATAAAGTAGTTTCTTCACAACTTTAGTTATGGTTGCTTTTAGTTTCTTTGTCCATTTATGTGATACTTTCAGTACATTACTATATAGGTGAAAAGATCTTTGTTTGTTTTAATGAATATTACATGCACTTGCCTTATTGCTCTGCATGTTTTGTCTAGGTTAAGCCAAGAACAAAATGCCAAAGCATGACTTCTTAACACCTAAAGCCATAGCCAACAGAATCAAAGCTAAAGGGCTTCAAAAACTACGATGGTATTGTCAGATGTGTCAGAAACAGTGTCGAGATGAGGTAAGTTCTGCCGATATAGTAGTAATTTCAGTTTGGCTGAATACTTTAAGTGAAAAAATAACTTTTTTGAATAAAGACTTTACTCAACATATTATTTTTATATTAAGTTTTAAAGATTTTACTACCAATTACAGAATCAGGACTTCCTTAAATCAGTATACAATGAGTTACCTGTCATTTTGAGGTTAGTTTAATATCAAGTCTAATGAGAGATGTGAATGTTGATAATTTCAATTTTCTAAAAACGTGATAAAAGAAAAACACTTTCATTGTTGGTGATGGTTATTTATTGGTGTTCTGTACTGTGATGCTTTTGTCAGAATGATGTATTGATAGTCTGTATGTAATCATAAGAATTCAAGAATTCTGTTTTATGAATATAACGTCACCAAAGGAAATGCAAGCCATTATCACGGCTCTAGGGATAATTCATTGTTAGGGCTACAAAACTGGAAAATTTTACATGTATAGTTGAATACTAAATTCTCTAAGAAATTCGATAATTCCATTTTTATTATAAATTTCATTACTTAATTACATACATGTCATTACACCAGTAAAAGGAATACATGAACATTACAGTGATTTATGACACTAACATGATGATGTTACTTTTTTCTACTGGTGATGGTTTTGTTGCAAAGTGTAAAACAAAACTGAAATGAAACAATAAAATAATCACTAAACACCTTTACTTGCATAGTTAAATGAAAATACATAATTATTTATTAAATATGAATTTTAACAATTTAAAGGAGACCACAAGCTGAAGCTTGAATTCATTGTATTCTCTTATACATATTCTGTATCTATTGTACTGTTGATTTTGATGTATTTGATTTGAATTGTTTTTATGTAATTAATTGTGTGATGTGTTTGTGTTACTGACACTATTGGTTGTGTTATTTTAACTTTATACATCATTTGGTACGGTGTTTACTCTTTAATTTTAGCATCAGACCATACATTACCTGGTACGGTGTTTACTCTTTAATTTTAGCATCAGACCATACATTACCTGGTACAGTGTTTACTCTTTAATTATAGCATCAGACCATACATTACCTGGTACGGTGTTTACTCTTTAATTATAGCATCAGACCATACATTACCTGGTACGGTGTTTACTCTTTAATTTTAGCATCAGACCATACATTACCGGTACAGTGTTTACTCTTTAATTTTAGCATCAGACCATACATTACCTGGTACGGTGTTTACTCTTTAATTTTAGCATCAGACCATACATTACCTGGTACAGTGTTTATATTGGACCATACATTACCTGGTACAGTGTTTATATCGGACCATACATCACCTTGTACTGTGTTTATATCAGACCATACATCACCTGGTACAGTGTTTATATCGGACCATACATCACCTTGTACAGTGTTTATATCAGACCATACATCACCTGGTACAGTGTTTATATCAGACCATACATTACCTGGTACAGTGTTTATATCAGACCATACATCACCTGGTAGCAGTGTTTATATCGGACCATACATCACCTGGTACAGTGTTTATATCAGACCATACATCACCTGGTACAGTGTTTATATCGGACCATACATCACCTTGTACAGTGTTTATATCAGACCATACGTCACCTGGTAGAGTGTTTATATCAGACCATACGTCACCTGGCAAAGTGTTTATATCAGACCATACGTCACCTGGTACAGTGTTTATATCAGACCGTACGTCACCTGGTAGAGTGTTTATATCGGACCATACATCACCTTGTACAGTGTTTATTTTTCAACCTAGAATGGCTTCAAGTGTCATACCTTGTCTGAATCTCATCAACGACAACTGTTGCTGTTTGCTGAAAATCCAGACAAGTATATAGACAGTTTCTCAGAGTAAGTTTTCCATTATACTCTCTACTCTTTTTCACTGAAATGTACCTTTTTTCATAGACAATTCTATGTATACTGACAAACAAGTAATTGTGTTTTTGAGTGATTTGTGCTGTAATAATAATGTTGATTAATG